ATCTTGTCTTTGTGGCGGAGCTGCATTTCGTTGTATTTCCTGAGGAGGCAGAGAGATAAACGTCAGGCTGTGAAACGCTTTTGTGTTCTGGGTCAAGAGCAAGGCAGGAGATGTCCTGTATTTATTCAGGCTCTTCAAACCCTGAACCGGGAGCCTCAGCCATCTCCCCAGCTCCTCTTTGGCTGCACAGCTAAAGGCAGAACGAGCACACCGGCTCTCTGGACTATGTCTTTCACTGATCAGTTTGGGGCAGGGGGAGGTTGTTGCAAAGGTTATATTGTTAAGTGTCAGCCAAATGGAAATCGATTGAGGGAAAAGGACCCAAAGCATTCCTCAAACCAACTCCCACCGTTGCAACTCCTCGTGCTCGCCCCTCTCGGCTCTTTCTACCAAACAGAGTTATAAAGTCACCGAAACTGGGAGTAATGGGGAAAGGGTCAGTTGTTTATTTGGGTGGGGATGTGGGTGGTTAAGGGGAAGTACTGGTGTATGGGGGGAAAAGGCAGACAAAGAAGAGTCCTAAACAGCAAGGGTCAGGCAAAGAGGTTGCAGAAAGACGTCTTTCTTCAGTGGGAGCTTCCTAGAGCTGCGACACTGGCATTAAATATTTGTCGCTACTGAGATGTGTGATCATTGCTCTCCCCCTCAAACTTGTCCCATTTAGGCAGTGTTCTTGTTTAGTTTTGTCCAGTTGGGACAGAAGGGAAAATCATGTCAAAACAAGAGAAATCTACCTACCACGTACGGGGTATTTTCCCACATTTGCTCAAAACTCATGACAAAAAGGCCACCTGGGCTTCAAATTAGATCAAAGGTGCTCTGGGGAGAAACAAGGAGCTCCACGGAGCATCTCTGCCAATGCCAGACCCTGAAGAGCGGCACTTGCAGCCCTCCTTAGGCACTCCTTTGTTTTCTGCGCTGCCTTTAGCTGAACACGACAGCAGACACGCAACTCATAATGTAACCGCACGCTGGGGTGTCAGGTTAAGGCAGATCTCTCCGGGCTAAATGCCTTCAACAGGAGAGACGCGACAGGCTACAGAACAGTCAAATGCAATGGCACTGCCAGGCACGTAACGGCAATTCCTGGGTACAGGGTTTTTTGTGTCTACATATCCCCTGCTGCTGCGTTCCTTACCTGACATACAGATCCTTCTGGTTCAGGAGACGCACTCCTTCCTCGTAAAGAGCTTTGTTTTCCTCCTTCAGCAGCGAAAGTTGCTCCGAAAGCTTCTGGTTCTCCTTCTGACACTGTAGGTGCTGGAAAACATCTATTGTTTATTTGTGTGTGTGTCCTCAGCTTTGGGGTCCCTCTGCTTCCTTTTGCTCTGGTATCCAAAGCTTCGCTGTCATAAATCCTAGCGGTTCCCACTACAGATAACACCCGTCCATTCTGCCCCCACGGCCACTGCCTCCGCCCCTTAGAGAAGGGGGAGAGTGAATTTCTGTGCTGCTGGGGGAGCTGTAGGCTTCAACAGGGTAGAGAAAGGTAACGCATCCTCCCAGACAGAGGACTCCACCACCATTTTCCTGCAAAAAGCTCCATGCTCTGCAAGAAAAGGGGAAGGGAGATGGGAAGAAGCCATCAAGTCCTCCTTCAGTGCCCTTAGAACTGCATTCCCTGGAAACCTGCGTGAGATGGGATGATGATTTTTCTCCAGCTCCTGTTTAAATCGGTGGGATCTGTGAGGGCTGGATTTGACCCTATTTCAGCAGTTCCCAGGCACAGATTTCACACTGTCCTGTTTTCCGTTAGAGCTCAGCGGTCTGCTCTGGGGCCATTCACCAGCACAGCATCACTTTGGCTGATGAGAACCCATCCGTGCTGCAGCTCACCTCGCTCGAGTCAGTTTTCCTCTCATCTTCTAGGACGTGCAGGGTCTTGGCCTGCAGCTCCACATGCATCTTGGCCAGCGACGCCTCCGTCTCCTGCGAATGCCGGAGCTGCTTCCGCAGCTCCTCCACCTGCTGCTCCAGGAGCTTCCTAAAAGCACGTTGGTGTGACAGTGAGATGTGGAGGCCAGCCCATGACGTGCCACCATGAATTCAAAGCTGGCTGGGATCTAAAAACAACATCACACTGCTCTGCACCTGCCCTGGGCAACACTGAGGGCAGAAAGAAATCAGTATATCTTGGTTGTCCCCATGTCGCAGGGGAAAGGGTGGATGATGTATCTGGGATCATCAACCCCAGCTGCACAAGGAAGGGGACTGCCATCATCTACAGGGTAAACCAGATCAGCGGGCTGGCAGGAGGGACCACGCACCTTCTGCAGCACCTGAAGGCTCCAAAAAGCTTTTAAATCTCACAAAGAAGGGGTCCTGTGGAGCTCTGCCAGGAACATTGGCAGGTCAAAAGGAGAGATAGCAGGCAAAACCAGTAGTCCAGTGACTCCTTGAGCCCACCTAGCGCTGGGCATGGAGCTGCAGGAGGTAGCCGGCAGCCTGGCACAGCAGCACTGGTTGGCACACACGTCCCCTCCGCGCGCAGCACAGGCCTTGCCCAGCTCTGGGTACCTTTTCAGCTGCTCCTCGTGGAGTTCTTGCTGCACACGAGCTTCATTCTCTCGGGCCTCCTTCAATTCCTCCTCCAGGAGTTTCTTGTCAGAAACACGGGCTTCGGCCAGCAGGAGTTGGTGTTGGGAATCTTTTAGCTTTTGCTGGAGTTTTGAAATCTCGGATTAAAATTGGACATGGATTAAACTTTCTTAATTTATAGGCCAGCATCTGAACCCAAGGGATTCGCATCCCTTTGATCCTTCAGTATCTGAGTGACAGGAATCAAAGATTTGCTTGCTTCTACTCAAAAGTACTTCTGTGTGTCTTTGTGTCAAAGTCCATTAAAAGTAAAACCTTCCCAACAGCTACCAGATTTTGGATCAGACACTGCGTCATGAACTAGCAACAATCCTTTTTGCACCTAATTTCACCCTGCACACTTCAAAACCGAATCCGACGATTAGTGCAGGAACACGGCAGAACCGACGCCGTGGAGAACACAATTCACCGCATTGCAAACACTGGCAAACCTCCTCGGCAAGAAGATGATCTGGGCTGCCCGCGCCTGCCAGCCCTACCACCAGTATTCTTGGAGATAGTGAGCTTTAGAGACAGGAGTTGAGCCATCAGATTTGGCTTCTATTGTTTTGATTATGCTCCCACCGATATCAGACATTTTCCCTAAAATATTTAGCCAAGTGATCTCAAAACGGACTACAAAAAATGGACTTCAGGGAACTGGTTCGTGAGCTGCTAGTGATTCTTTCTTCTGAACTACAGTTGCACAAAACTGCTAAAAACACACCTCCTGTTAATTTAGCTCGCGCTGACGAGTTACCTTTTTTTGTGCTTCACATACTTTGGATTTCTCCTGGGCGAGTTTCTCCTGCAGACTGCTCTGCAGTTTATCAGCCTGGGAGCACTTCAAGAGCTCTTGTTCGAGTTCTTTCACCTTCTGCTGGCTTTTTTCCCACTGTGCTGAGAGGGAGGAGCATGTTTCAGTTGTGTCCGAGAGTTTTGCCCTGGCTTGCTTCAGCTCAGCTTTGACCTGAGTTTCAGAAAAAGAAGAAAGAAATCAAGTTTGTACTTCAACATATGTCATGTGAAACGTCTTGATTAGGAAAGGGGCAAAAGGATTACCAGAGAGCAAACAAGAATAAAAGAGAAATACAGGGAGGAAGTACAGGACACACAAAGTTTTATTTGGAGGCAGTGTAGTTTCCATGAAGCTGAGACAGGGCACGCTCGAGAGCCCCACGTACTCAACAGCCAGATGTAAATCAGAGCCAGACTGCTGCCATGTCTAGTTGGAGGCCCGTAGCTTGCAGTGTTCCCCAGGGATAAGTACTGGGTCCGGTCTTGTTCAATATATTCATAGAATCACAGAATGGTTTGGGCAGGAAGGGACCTTGAAGACCATTCAGTCCCACCCCTCTGCCCCAGGCAGGGCCACCTCCCACCAGCCCAGGTTGCTCCAAGCCCCGTCCAACCTGGCCTTGAACACCTCCAGGGATGGGGCAGCCACAGCTTCTCGGGGCAACCTGCCCCAGGGGATCACCACCTGCACAGGAGAGAATTCCTTCCTGTTATCTCATCTAAATCTCCCCTCTTCCAGTTTGAAGCCATTCCCCCTCACCCTGTCACTACATGCCTCTGTAAAAAGTCCATCCCCAGCTCTCCTGTAGCCCCTTCAGATACTGGAAGGGGCTCTAATGTTTCCCCGGAGCCTTCTCTTCTCTGGGCTGAACACCCCCAACTCTCTCAGACTGTCCTCCAGCAGAGGGGCTCCAGCCCTCGCAGCATCTTCATGGTCTCCTCTGGACCTGCTCCAACAGATCCACGTGCTTCTTATGTTGAGGGCTCCAGAGCTGGATGCAGTACTCCAGGTGGGGTCTCATGAGAGCAGAATAGAGGGGCAGAATCCCCTCCTTCACCCTGCTGGCCACACTTCTTTTGATGCAGCCCAGGATACAGTTGGCCTTCTGGGCTGTGAGTGCACATTGCCAGCTCATGTTGAGCTTCTCATCAACCAACACCTCCAATTCCTTCTCCTCAGGGCTGTTCTCCAACCATTCTCCACCCAGCCTGGATTTGTGCTTGGGATTGTCCCAACCCAGGTGCAGGACCTTGCACTTGGTCATTAACAACTGGGATGAGGGGACAGAGTGTACCCTCAGGAAGGACCAGAAGGCTGGGCCACCATTCAATGAGACCTGGTCAGGCTGGAGAGTTGGGTGGAGAGGAACCTAATGAAGTTCAACAAGGGCAAAGTGTAGGGTACTGCATCTGGGAAGGAATAACCTCATTCATCAGTACAGGTTGGGGGCTGACCTCCTGGAAACCAACTCTGCAGAGAGGGACCTGGGAGTCCTGGTGGATAAGTTGTCCACGAGCTAGCAATGTGCCCTTGTGGCCAAGAAGGCCAATGGTCTCCTGGGGGGCATTAAAAAGAGCGTGGCCAGCAGGTCAAGGGCGGTCATCCTCCCCCTCTGCTCTGCCCCAGTGAGGCCACATTTGGAGTACTGTGTCCAGTTCTGGGCACCCCAGTTCAAGAAAGACAGAACTGCTGGAGAGGGTCCAGCGGAGGCTACGGAGATCATCAGGGGACTGGAGCATCTCCCTGATGAGGGAAGGCTGAGAGCCCTGGGGCTGTTCAGCCTGGAGAGGAGAAGGTTGAGAGGGGATCTCATCTATGCTGATCGATATCTAAAGGGTGGGTGGCAAGAGGATGGGGTCAGACTCTTCAGTGGTGCCCAGCGACAGGACAAGGGGCAACGGGCACAAACTGGAACATGGGAGATTCCATCTCAACAGGAGGAAAAGTTTCTTTCCTGTGAGGGTGGCAGAGCACTGGCACAGGCTGCCCAGAGAGGTGGGGGAGTCTCCTTCTCTGGAGATAGTCCAAACCCTCCTGCACAACCTGCTTTGGGTGCCCCTGCTCTGGAAGGGGGTTGGACTGGATGATCTCCAGAGGTCCCTTCCAACCCTGACCAGTCTGTGATTCTGTGAAATCAGCACCTCAGACCTCCCACAGCTTGTAAAATGATGTCATGCTGTCTTCAAACAGTTCTCTCTGCTCTGTTCCTACCTTGGTGCATTCCTGTTGGAGCAAGAGGTTTTGCTTTTGTAAGTCAACATTCTTCTCCCTTTCGTATCTCAGCTCCCTCTCAGCTGAGCTGCACAAGTTCTGAACACGACGCAAGTCCTGCCGCAGTTGCTGCATTTTTTCCTCCTGTTGCTGGAATCTCTCCTCAGACAAACTCTGCAGGAACAGCAAAACCACACGGGTTACTTGGAAATTAACTTCAAGGAAAGATAAAGACTGGTAATTAAGAAAGGTACAGGTATGCCAGTAGGGTTTAAATGGGAAGATGGGTAAAGCCAGGCAAGCATTTCTTCTGCCCCCACACCACGTCCTGCTCCCTACCCTGTCCATCCCCTCAGTGAAGCTGGTACAACTCTTGAGGTTGAGGGAGAAGACGCAATAACCTGGATGAGGAAACAAATCCCTGTTAAATCTAACCTGTCAAAAAAAAGTAAAACCACCCAGGTTGCTCTTAACTCTTGTGCCAGAGCATCACTAAGGCAACTAAACAAGGAGTGGCAGAGAACCATAGAACGGTTTAGGTTGGAAGGGACCTTAAAGACCATCTCGTTCCAACCCCCAGCCCTGGGCAGGGACACCTCCCACCAGCCCAGGTTGCTCCAAGCCCCGTCCAACCTGGTCTTGAACACCTCCAGGGATGGGGCAGCCACAGCTTCTCGGGGCAACCTGCCCCAGGGGATCACCACCCTCACAGGGAAAAACTTATTCCTGATATCTCATCTAAATCTCCCCTCTTCCAGTTTGAAGCCATTCCCCCTCATCCTATCTCTACATGCCCTTGTGAAAAGTCCCTCCCCAGTTCTCCTGTAGGCTCCTTTTAGGTACTGGAAGGCTGCTATAAGGTCTCCCTGGAGCCTTCTCTTCTCCAGGCTGAACAACCTCAACTCTCTCAGCCTGTCCTCCCAGCAGAGGGGCTCCAGCCCTCGCAGCATCTTCATGGTCTTCTCTGGACCTGCTCCAACAGGTCCATGTCTTTCCTATGCTGGGGGCTCCAGGTGGGGTCTCACCAGAGCAGAGTAGAGGGGCAGAATCCCCTCCCTCGCCCTGCTGGCCACACTTCTTCTGATGCAGCCCAGGATACAGCTGGCCTTCTGGGCTGCGAGCGCACGTTGCTGGCTCATGTTGAGCTTCTCATCAACCAACCCAGCCACAACTCCCACAGGTAACAGGAACAAGGTGAGTCCTGGCAGCAGGTCGGGAACAGACACGCTGGCACAACGCGACAGCAGCCTGGACACCCTGAGGTGGTCACCGACAGTCCGTGATGGCATTCAGAAGATAACTGAGTTCTTTGGTTCTCCCATCTTCTTGCAAGTGCCTTGTACACAGACTAAAAGCTCTTCTCATGTTTGGTGTACCAAAGCCCTTCTTCCTAGCATCACTTGCTGTCGATCTGCATTCCCGCTTTGCATCTTCACCCTCTGTTCTTGGGACTAGATGAAATCCCCTGAAGATCAAACTTCCCTTCTCAGATAAATCCCCAGACAAATTCCCAAGCTGGGAACTCTTGATCTAGCACTGTGGGACCTGGCAATGTCATTTGTCCTTGAGATCAGTTAGGTTTTGTGGGGTATTTTCCCGCACCTGCTTCTATTGGGATCTTTTTCAGCATCCCCTCTTACACCTTGTATCCTGCTTTGGTCTGCTCTAACTCTACAGGTTTGCCGCTTCTCGGTATCAGCATGACTCTGATCCTCTCCTTTCCACTCCCAGTCCTGCCGACAGGCCACCCTGTCCTCTCTTCTCTTCCAAACTCTTGCGCGTAATCCTTGCTCCTCCTCAGACACACCCCCCCCGGCCTGGGTTTCTTTCGTCCTTTCTTCCCCTTTTGGCAGGGCTAGCTGCTCTCCCCTTTCTTTTTGAGATCACACGGTGAGAAAGGTGAACAAATTGCATTTAAAACACAGCGAAACGTAGTGATAACCAGGGGTCTCGCCTGCCAGCCTGCAGAGCAGCTGGAGAGCAGTAACGGAGACACGGGCACAGGGCTGCAGCAAAACCCAGCTGCTGGAGAGCTGCCACTGCGGCGCAGAAGCCGAGGGATGACTTCAAGCACTGGAGTGTAAGAGCAGAAAATCGCGAGGAGGAGCAGGGAAACGGCACAACTTCTGCCTCCAGCAAGAGCAAGACTGCTGTGGGAACAGCGAGCCAGCTCTGTTGCTCACACTCCGAAAAGGAGTTGAGATAGAGCTCCAAAAAGGTTTAAAACATCATTGAAGGACTGTGTCACTTATCTCTTTCGTGTGCGCTAGTGGGGCCATTCAGTTTATCCAAGTTCCCACTACATCCAAAGACACGACAGAAGGAAATGATAACATTCATAATTTCCAAACATTTTCCCCATGGAAATGAGCCAGTCTCATCTCCCCGCTGCGTGCTAGCACTACAGGACTGGCTTCCAGTCCACTTTAATTAGATTTTGCCACTAAATTAGTGAAAAAAAAGTACAGTGCAGATGGCAAAGCTGCCCATACCTGTTTAACGCTCCCATCTAAACTGCCTGTAGAGCTCTGCGACTCGAGAAACCTGCTCTCTCTACGTGCCATGCCTTGATTCAGCCTCCAAGTCTCTTCAAGCATGCTCTCTCCCTGCTCCCGGGCAGTCAGGTTATCTTGTTTTAGCTGGGCAATTTCTTCCAGTAACAACCGTTTTTCTTCATTGCTCTCTTTTAGCCGCTTTTCTAGCTCCTCCCTCTTCTTGTTGCTTTCTAGTAATGCAGAACTTGAAGGAGAAATAGTAAAGGAGAGAGATAACTATACACATCCAAGGGAAACCTCCCTCTGAAGGGGGAAAACCTGGGATACGAGACTCCAGAGAAACAATCAAGGCAACTGCTCAAGTATCTCAGGAGGCTCCAAAGGGGATTTAATCCTGGGTCTAGAAGTTCTGGGCAAGGGTCAGTCTCCCCTGGACACTGACCCACAAAAAAAAAAAAAAAATGTGTGTCCAAAGGGCCATCTCTCAGTCATTCCTGAGTAGGAAACACTCGCGTGGGGCCACGTGAGCTGGGCTGCGCTCACAAGCAGCACAGCAGCACTGGCACACCACCATGCTCTATGGAGATGTGGGCTCAGGTCTCCCGATCGAGCTGTCTGACTGATCTCAATACGAACTATATGTCCTTATAAGCCTGCCTGCCTGATCCTGGTGTTCCGTTATCTCAGTACCCAGTTATCCAGGTAACTGAGCCGACTGTAACTACGCTGGATTTAATCCAAGTTTTTACTTACTAATGAGATGCTGAGCATGGATGCTCCAACTCCAAATTTGTATTGCTCTACTGAAAAAGGGGAGTCAGGGGACCTGTAAGAGCTTTATTTACAACTCGACGCCTGCTGACACCTGCCCTCTGAGGACAACTGAAATCCACAGCAGGATGTGTGCCGGCAGCTGCCGGCAGCAGTTAACCCCGGGGAGCCCACAGTGGGAGCTCTCTGGAACCACACAAGTCCAAATACTGCCTCACTCCAAGAGAAGAAGCCTCTTCCCTAAGGACAGCTCTCACTTATGCCATTCAGAATCTGAAATAGCTACAGAAAAAAAAAAAAAAAGAAAAAAAAAAAGGTTTCCTCCTGATGTCATCCTGATCATGATGTCACTAAGGGAAATGCTTATTCACCAAAATCTCTACCCAGAGACAATTACACGATAAGGAAGACACAAAGCTGCTGTGCCCAATTTTGCCACACGCAGCACTACAGAGATTTTGAAGACTAAAAAAATTAGTCAGCAAAGATTAGGAGCAGAAAATACCACAGGTCTTGTTAAGGTTTACCAGAGCAGTTCTTGTTCATCTCTCAAGTTTTTGAGCTGTTCTTCCAAAAATACTACTTTAGCCATCTGTTCTTCATATGTCTTGTCATCTGTACATGGATCTTCATGTTTCTGCTCAAGTTTGTTAATCCGTTCCCTTTCTTGTAGATGTTCAGAGACCTGTAAGGTCAAAAAACACCACGACTCTGATTTTCTTTGGTCTCATGGAAACCTTTTGAGCAGTATAAGACTATCTGGGGGATTCCACCAAGGCACGGCTTGTGATTCTGTAGCTAAATTACTGTAGTTCTTCACCCTTGAAGATACATGTGCAAGTCCTTTTCTCTGCATGGGAAGTAGCTGCATGTATACTATCAGCAAATCGCATTTCTTTATTTGGTTTCATCCTTCCATTGCCTATCTGTAGTTCAGGGCTTTATATCACATGCCGTATTTCTTTACAAAACTAGAAATTCTTGGAAAAACGGGAAGACTACAAGGTATGTATTCAGCTGTCTCACACAGAGAGCATCCTCCATCCAAGTCAACCCAAACCAGCTTTCTACGCATGGCTGCTCTCCACTTTCAACGTCACCTAATGCCGTAACACCAGGCAATGGCAGACCCAAAACCTGAGACATGAAGAGAAGATGCCAAGAAAATAAAAGGGGAGAGAAGGGATGGCAGAAGCAGTGCACAGGGACATAGGGACTCCCAGACTGGATCAGAACCAGAATCTGCCCAGTCTAATATCCCCTGCTAAGCAGTGGTGAAACCAAATCCTTCAAAGAAAAATGCTATTAAGTCCACTAAATGCGAGCAATGACTTTGATTCCCAAAGCTTTTTAATCAATGTCTCTTTCGGAGTGCACGCTAGCACTAATATTTCAATTGCAGGTCGCCTTCTCTACACCAAGATGAATTTATTGATATTTGAGCAAGATACACTAGCAGTTTCTGACTGCATCAGACACCAGAACAACGGAGACTTCTTTACCTTTCTCACCTCTGTATCTAACAAAGCATTATCTTTTTGTAGCTTCTCATGGGATACGTTAATGAGACCCCTGCTTGCTGATGTTGTTTGGAGACTCAGGGAGTTATTACAATGGCTTGTAAACTCTGATTTTGAGTCAGACAAGTGCTGGTGAGGAAACAACAGGAGGTAGTGGATGTAATACACCTCTAACTACAAGCTCAGAAAAAGCTTTCTCCTCTCCCATGTCCAAAAACCTCTTAAAAACAAGAAGAGAGTTCCAAATGAACACAAAGAACTCTTTTCATAGTTCATACTGCATCCGTTCGTAGCACATCATTAAAGTTTACAAGCACAAAAATACTATCCAATTTACTCTCCCATTCTGTGTGTTGGACATCCTGACAAATACAACATTGAAAAACCTCAAATCTTGACCTCCAGGTGTGTACCACCCATGAGAACCTGACGATTTCAAGCCAAGCTAATTTCCAGCACTTGTCTCAATACAGCTGCTCTATCAAAAGGGAATGAACCCATTTGTGAAGTCAGGAATCCCACCAAACACATGCAAAGTCCACTATTTTAAAGACTGTTACAGTCTAATGCAGGCCCCTGGATTTCATCCAGTGGAGGTGTTGGTGGGTGAGAAGCTGGACATGAGCTGGCAATGGGCACTCACAGCCCAGCGAGCCCCCGGCACCCCGGGCTGCATCCCCAGCAGCGTGGCCAGCAGGGCGAGGGGGGACTGTGCCCCTCTGCTGCGCTCTGCTCTGGGGAGACCCCCCTGCAGTGCTGCCTCCAGCTCGGGGGGTCCCACCAGCAGAAGGAGACGGAGCTGTTGGAGCGGGGCCAGAAGAGGCTCTGGAGATGCTGGGAGGGCTGGAGCCCCTCTGCTGGGAGGACAGGCTGGGGGGGGTGGGGGGGGTCCGGCC